ACCATAATGTTCATCAAAGACAAACTAGGACCAAGCTTAGAAGGCTTAACCTATGGTATAACGAAACTGTCAAACACAGCCAGAAATTAACAATGTAGAGAGGATAAAATTGATGAATGGGACTTTCTAAAGATTAAATCTCGGTGCTCATCAAAACCTTTTTCCAAACGGGTGAAAAGAAAGCCTATTGATTGGGAACAAACATTTGAGAAAACAATTTTGGACAAGGATCTCATAACAAAAGTTTACCGAATACTCCTGGGCCTTCAGAAGACAAAGACTGATAACACAATTACAAAATGGGCAAAAAGCATTGAAAGACTTTCCACAGAGAAAGACATTTAGGTGGCCTACAGATACATGAAGAAATGTTCAAAATCACTCTCAAAATAAGAGAGATGCGAATCAAAACCACAATGAGATTCTATCTCAACACAGTAAGACTGGCAAAGTTTAACAAAACAGGAAACAATAAATGTTGGAGAGGGTGTGAAGAGGTAGGAACTCTCATACATTATTAGTGGGGTTTTAAAATGGTACAACCACTCATCAAGACAGTTTGGCATTTCCTCAAAAAGGTGAACATAAAGGCAGCTGGGAAATGGGCCTGAAAGCTGGAATCTGAGTAAGGTCTCTACATGTATTCAACCAGTGAGAGATTACAAGCCCTGGCCTGGCCCCTGTTCCCACATCTAGATGCTGTCCAGAACCTGCCTCTACCTGCTGAGCCCTCAGCCCACCTCTATGCATCACTTCTTGCCAGGCACCCACCTCTGCATGCCATGTGCTATACCCACCTCTATGGGACTCACACTCTGACTGTCTCTATGCACCACGCCTAGCACCCACCTCTGTGCAACTTGGCCAACTCGCCTGGCATCAGCACCGCACCTGGACCCGTCTCTATGCAATGCACCTGGTTGCCCACCTCTATGTTTCCCAGCCTCCACCCTCCACACTCCGCCTACCTCTACTCAGTGACTTCAGATAAAGAACCTATCATCACCTCAGGCATGAAAAACTCCAACACAGCAACATCACGAATGAAACAGGCCACCTCATAAACTACATAAGCGTAAAGCAAGATGTTATCCCCCAAAAAGTGACACAGTACCAATGGATTTCCTGAAGCCAGAAAGTCTGATGGAACTTTCTGACACAGAATATAAAAGAACAATGATTATTTAAAAAAAAAAAAAAAGAACAATGACGGACTGTTTTCAATGGATGAAAGACAAACTTAAGAATTACAGGACACTGTAAAAATGACCATTAACTCTCTAACCCAACATCTCCAAGAAATTGAAAAACAACAGCAAAAAAATTTGACACTTATAAAAACCCCTGAAATTATAAAAATTAGGGTAGAAATAAATTAAATAGAACACTGAAAAACAATTGAAAACATCAACAAAACTAGGAGTTGGTTCTTTGAAAAGGTCCATAAAATCAACAAACCACTAGCAAAACTAACAAAGGAAAAAATGGAAAAGACACAAATGATCTGAATAAAAGATGTAACAGGCAACATCACAACAGAGCCAGTAAAATAAAAAAGCTAACAAAGAATATTATGGAAAAACTATAGTCAAACAATATCAGAACCTAGAGGAAATGGACAAATAATTAGAAACCTAAAACCTACCTAAACTGACTTAAACTGATATTGAACACCTGAACAGACCCATTACAAAATAAGAAATTGAAATGGTAAATAAACAACTTCCAGTCAAAAAAAGCCCTGTACCAGATGGTTTTACAAATGAAATTCAGAGAAGAACTGTCAGAAATCCTACATAAACTATTTCAGAAAATAGAAAAAGATTAAATTCTCCCAGACTCATTCTATGAAGCAAACATATCCTTGAAACCAAAGCAAGGTAAAGACACCACCAAAATAGAAAACAATATCTCTCATCAACATAGATGCAAAAATCCTGAATAAAATACTGACCAATAAAAAACAATGATACATAAAAAAAAATAATTCACCATAGCCAAATGGGCTTCATAACAGGTATGCAAGGATGATAAGAAAATTAATCCGTGTAATTCATCATATAACAAAGCAAAGAACAAGAAGCACATGATCCTATCAATTGAAGCAGAAAAGGCCTTTGACAAAATCCAACACCCTTTCCTTATTAAAACACTCATCAAAATAGGATTAGAAGGGAACTTTCTCAACATAGTAAAAAGTATATAAGCAAACCCAAGAGCCAACATTGTTCTCAATGGAGAGAGATTAAAAGCATTCCCTTTGAGAACAGAAACTAGGCAAGGATGCGCACTATCACCTCTCTATTCAATAATGTATTGGAAGTCTTAGCAATACCAATAAGGCAAGAAAAGGAAATGAGAGGTATCCAAATTGGCAAAGAGGAGGTAAGATTATCTCTCTACGCAGATGATATGATAGTATACTAAGAAAACCTTAAAGAATCCGCAAGAAAACTGTTGGACACAGTGGATCAATTCAGCAAAGTAGCAGGATACAAGATCAACATACAAAAATTAATTGGATTTCTCTACAGTGACAAAGAGGATACAGAACTGGAGCTGAGAAAAACAATACCCTTCACAATAGTTAACGACAGATTAAATACTTGGGAGTAAATCTAACCACAAACACAAAGGATCTATTTAAGGTAAATTACAAAACATTATTATAAGAAACCAAAAGAGATCTGGGGAAATGGAAGAATATATCTTGCTCATTGATAGGAAGACTCAATACTGTGAAAATGACAGTACTACCAAAGGCAGTTTACATGTTCTATGCAATCCCAATACAAATAAAAATTCTGTTCTTCAAAGAGATGGAAAGGACAATCTTCAATTTTATTTGGAATGGAAAGAGACCCTGAATAAACAAAACACTCCTTAAAAAGAGAAACAAGGTAAGAGGCATCTCATTCCCTGATTTAAAACCCTACTACCTTGCCGTGGTGGTCAAGATAGCATAGTACTGGTACAATGACAGAAACATAGATCAACAGAATACAATTGAGAACCCAGAAATCAGCCCATCTACCTATGAACAACTAATTTTTGACAAGCAGATAAATCAGTTAAGTGGGGAAATGGCAGTCTTTAACAAATGGTGTTGGCAAAATTGGAAAACTATCTGTAGAAAATTCAAGCAAGATCTACACCTTACACCATATACAAAAACTAACTCAAAGTAGATCAAGGACCTAGGACTAAAACCAAGGACTATAAACTGCATTAGAGAAAAGCTTGGAAGAACTCTAGAATCCCTAATCAACAACATGAACAGTTTAACAAGCATCCTGAAAAACCTATAACCAAGACAGGATAAAATAGATGAATGGGACCTTCTAAGAATTAAATCTCTATGCACATAAAAAAACTTCTCCAACAGGGTAAAAAAGGGAAGCCACAGATTGGGAAAAAATATTTGGTAATGACATGTCAGATATGGGACGTATATATAAATTTTATAGAATACTTGAGCATCACAACAAGATAATGGTAACGAATCCAATTGCAAAGTGGGCACAGGATATGAACAGACACTTCACCAAAGAAGTCATTCAGATGGTAAACAAACACATGAAGAAGTGCTCAAAATCCCTAGCTCTAAGAGAAATGCAAATCAAAACAACTATGAGACATCATCTCATTCCAGTAAGAATAGCAAAATTCAATAGAGCAGCAAACAATAAATGCAGGCAAGGTTGTGGAGAAACTGGAGCTCTTATTCACTGTTGACGGGAGTGTAAGATGGTGCAACCACTGTGGAAGTCAGTATGGCGCTTTCTTACCAAGTTACAAATAGAAATACCATTTGACCCAGTAATTTCCCTACCGGAATATACCCTAAAGAAACCATAACCGCCACCCAAGCAGATATATGCATACCCATGTGTATTGCTGCTTTGTTCACAATAGCAAATTGTTGGAAACAATCCAAGTGCCCATCAACAAATGAATGGATAGAGAAACTGTGGTATATTGACACAATGGAATACTATGCTGCCTTGAAAAACAAGAAACTAATGAAATATTATACAAACTGGATGATTCTGGAAGACATTATGCTAAGTGAAATATCTCCGTCACAAAAGAACAAACACTGTATAGTGCCACTATTGTAAAATGAGACTGAAATTGGGGTTGAAGGGAACTTAAGAAAGGAGGAAATAATGTATACTACATTGAAACAGATGAGGGAGAGAACTGTTTTAAAGGAATATATGATTAAGTATTATTTTCATGACAACAGTCCAAAATAAGAGCTGCATAGTAAAGTGGACTTGGAGGAAGGGGAGGATTTTATAACAATGAAAGAGTATTTTTTTTCTCTTCTCATGGAGAAAAGCAAAGTGAGAGGTGGGGTGGGTGGGGAGGAAAGTGTGGAACAATATATGAATGGAAATCCAGTCTCTGTAAACTTTCATGAAAATAGTTTTAAAAAAAAGTTGAACCTAGAAACACCATATGACCCAGCTATTCCACTACTAGGAATATACCCCAAGGACATTAGAAGTGAAACACAAACAGATTTGTACACCAATATTCACACCAGCTTTATTCGCCATCACAGGAACATGGAAACAGCACAAATGTTCAACCACAACTGAATGGATTGAGAAACTGTGGTACATTCATCCAATGGGATACTATGTAGCACACAGGAAAAACAATTTAAAAAAAAAATACTTACTTGGTAGAGGTTCAGAGCATTAGGCTAAGTGAACTAAAGCAGTCTCATAAGGACAAATACTGCTTAAGACCATTGTAAAAATGGAAGGATAACTCATATAACATGTATGGGTACTCAAGCAGAAGGAAGGGTGGCAGCAGAGGGGTAAGGATAGGTAAACACAAAACAACAACATGTTTTATAAAATTGATTACCACTGAACTATGCCCACCAGATCTCCACACTATTTTATCTTTGTCTTCTTCCATTTAAAAAAAAATATATATATAGACTTGAGCAAATATCAACTAACATAATATAAATGATTTACCTGGTATTGGAACTGAATCGGCTGTAGCTGACTGTCATTCTGAGTCATTTTCTTAGCTAGAGCCTCTTTGAGTACAAGGGCTTTATTCAACTCTATAAGCTTCTTAGTCATTTGGGCTTGATGTAAAGCATGCTGAGTGGTAAAAACATCAGAAGATCTGCTGGTCTCTGGACTTGTTTCTACTTGCTGAAAGAAATAAAGATTATGATTTGTCAGAGAACCAAATAACTGGAATTCGTTATGTACTGTTCAATCAATTCTTATGGCCAGTTCTCCATTCACTGTTCTTTTAGAACTGATTTTCTCATACAGTACTTGCATGCTCTCAAAAACACCACATGTATTTTAGAGATTTTTAACTGACTCTTCCGAATCAATGAAGTTTCTTATTCTTTCTTTTATTGATCTGGCAACTATTTCTTATTTTTAGTTCATTTCAAGGTGTCCTTAAAGGAGAGGTACCTTGAAATATACCTCTTTCAAGGATAGAGGCACTTTTGGAATGGTAGAAATGGAGAACAAGCCATATTTATTCTCAACAGAGATGATAATTAGCACTTGATTTGTTTGCCCTCTTCTTTTTGTCAGAATATGAAAATCACGCATTTATATGTCCTTTTAGGAGGAAAAAGTATTTTTTTTTTTTTTGGAAAAAGTAATTTTAAGTAAACCATCATCCAGTTTTTAATTTTTATTTTATTATCTTTAGATATTTTAGCAATTCTGGCACCATGAGGACTTGGTTCTTTTACTAGCATCCTGCAACTCCCTGTATCTGTAGAAAATAAGGCTCAGAAAAAAAATCTTTCATTTTGATCTAATGTTATTTTAGCATAATTTCCTAATTTGCTTCCTTGTTAATTTATTCCTCTATTCATTTTAACTTCCTGGACAGTTCACAAAGAATATTATTATTAATAAGAAATCAGTAAGACACAATGAAAATGTGGCACATGACATCTCTGAAAAGTCCTATTATCAATTACTAATTATACTACTATAGTTAGGATTTATTCCAGTTAGAGATTTTTTTATATTTATGATTTTTGGATTTCTCTTCTTGAAATAAGCAAGGAATTACAGGAAATGGCACAGTTGAAGCTTCTGGTTCTATACACAAGGGTCAATTACTTACAGGTTCTGGATCTACTACAGTATCATTTGCTGCAGCCAGACAAAAAACAGTTTCACCCTGAAATGAAAAATGTTTCAGTTAGAAAAAGAACTCTGAATAACTCTTACAAGTAGATTTTATACTTGTTAATTTTTTAAAGGGTATACAAAGAGGCCATCTAAAGTGCTAGATCCATTTAAGTTACACATACTCCAACAGGGAGCTCTAGTAGCCTAGAGGGTACAGAATTGTGCTGTCAATCCAAAGGTGGTTCACATTCACCAGTTGTTCTCTAGGAAAAAGAGAGGCCATCTCCAGTTGTCCTATTTATAGGAGGGTCAGCTTTGAGTTGATTCCGACTTGATGGCAATTAATTGAGTTGTTTTGATACTCCAATATTTTCATTTTTCCTCTCTCAGAGTTTCTCTTCTTTACAAATGGTGAGTATATGTTAGCTAGGAAAATAAATTAATGCAGCAATTTACATACTAATTGTACTTCTTCTACTGTGCCAGAGATCATTAGACCAGACTGAAACATATAGGTCAAAGCTGAACCGAGATTAAGCTACCTTTTCCTCTTATGCGCTTACTATTAAGTCCATTCCTACATTTTACAGGTCTGATGTGCATGCCCTTTCAAAAGAAATACGAAATACTATGAAAGAAGCAGAAAAGTGAAGAGAAAAATCTTTTTTATATTATAATTAATGAAGATGGCAAGAGTCTTCTGCTTAAAAAAATAAATAGCCTGAGTGGGTATCCTGAAAACATGATTTCAAGAAGTCAGAATATGTATTATAGCTCATTCTCTCATATAGATAAGAACAGATAATATATGTATATACTCCAGTTAGCGGTTAAGTGGAGGGGGAAAGTAAGCACTCAGTCCCTTGAAAGTGAAAATTCCTCTTTTGTTGTTGTAGGAATTGTAGGGAGATGCTAGAAGAGAAACCTAAAAGTTCTTACTAAGACTAATTTATTTACATGCTATCATATAAGCAAGTTCTTTTCTGTCCACTAGATTTTGGGCTATATTTGGCATTGTAATATTTGTGTTACTGTTTAAGTGATTCTGTAGAAGTGATCCTAGGAAGAACAGATCGTTTGTTGTTTGTTGCTATGTGCCGTCGAGTCGCTTGCGACTCATAGCGACCCTAAACTCAACAACCCTAAACTCTGCTCTGTCCTGTGCCAATCACACTGTCTCTGACACTCCCATCCCGATTATCCCAGTCACTGAATCAATCCACCTCATA